ATAAGATTTGAATGTTTATGAACAAAAACCATTTATAAGCCTCTCTTTTCTGACGCCGATACGAGTTACTACTTATCCCTTTTTGAAGATGTTCTTCGTGTCACACTCGTTACTCTCTTATTTACTCCACATATTTGAAAGAGTGAAAATGCAAGTAAAGTCATAAGTATTCCCCAAGGAATGAAGAAAACATCAATTTCCCAGCTGAATAATTTCAGAAACAGAATTATCCCAATGTCTAGAGAATCGCAATAACTGTAAGCAATCACAAAAACACGTCAGCATCAACCACAAACTAGTCATTCAAAATAGAGCAACAAAAACATAGAAACTAAAAAAAACTGCGGAAAAACAAGACAACGTCACCAACCTTAAGATAGTCGTGCAAGTTGCCTTCTTTCATGAACTCAGTGATCAGCCAATACTCATTAGGTCGACGTTCAACATCAATATATTTGAGGATGTTAGGATGTCCAGCCCGTCGAAGTACGTCAACGTAGATTGTCTGGAAAAGGATCACTTGAAAAAGAATACGAAAACGACAAAACTGACAACCTAACACTGAAGCGTTCTTGATTCTTACTCAGAGTATGAGGCCAGCTCATTATTATATTTCACTAGATACCTACCAATCTTGTAATAAAAATATTCTAAATTGATAATGGTTCAGAATCTTATTACGAAATAAAAATTACGCAGATTTTCTAGTAAATCAAAATTTGATGACTATGATCAAAGTCAAAGGCTTTCATTTTTTCCCCTCTAATTAGAAGAAAATGACAACTGAGATGTGAGAAGCATGTATATTTTAATCTCAAACCACTTACAATACTGCGTCATGTGCGATAAGGTAGGTAGCTACATAAAATAGTATTCAGTAACCCATCAAAAATTACTCACCTGTTCCGAATGCCAACTCTCCTCATCTTTTAGCACTTTTACTGCAACTTCTTTAACCTTGTCACCATTATGGTACAGGCCACTGTATACATCCCCAAATCGTCCGCTAGCGACGTGCTGAAAAACACAAGAATATTTCTTAAGTAATCCCTGATTGGTCATTGGATTTACAAATGCGTTGAAGTAAGCTCAGCAACAACTTTATAATCCTTCATAAACTTCGAAAACAAGTAAGAGATAGTTGGTGGCTACTAGCTAAACAACAAACTGTATTACGTTATTTTTGAAAAAAATACCTTCAGATCTGTGATCTCAAACATTGGCTTTTGCGCAGCGCAGTTCAGCAAAGCATAGGTTTCACTCTGCTGTGCAGTGGTCACAGTCTGAATCGAACGAAAATTAGCCAATAATCACTAGAGTGCTACTTAAATTGACAGTACTTGTGTCTTAATCTTATCCTTAGTTTGCCAGCATCTGCCATAGACAAGGGAGAAAACGATCAATCCTCCAGCTATGCAGACTCCAATTAATCCAAATAGCATCACAAACCACATGTTGCTCATCAGATGGGATACGGTACCGATAGTGGTAGCTGCAAGAACAAACTTTTGAAATTTCAAATTTCATGAATCTCTCGTAATCTAAAGCTAGCTAAGATATTGACCATAGTTCAAGCAAGGCTAATTCTAAAATGAAAAGGTTTTGCAATAGGAGTTATCTTACATGCAGGGCACACTTAAAAACTGATAGCGGTTCACAAACCAGCTTACTGTTACACAACTACGTGCATCGAATAGGAAGAAGTAGTATTTCAAGTGCCTAAGTTTTTAAATGAATTTCAGGTCCCTAAATACACTCAAAAGATCCCTCTCAACTCAGCAGCTGCTTCGTTAGTATGCTCTTCCTGTTCTCCATGCATTTCATTTTGTCTGCAAAAACTAGTCACTTTCGCATTGTGCGCGCGCCTCTGATAAACAACTTACGTCAGCTTAGCACCATAGCAGGAAGTAAATTCAACGAAAACAATATTGCGCTCTAGCACTGAGTGATGCTTAACCGCAGATGCGAAGAAGAGTGTCAACAAGCGCCAGCAATTAAGGAGAATTCTGCAGTTGCAGACTAGACACTCACTATTGGCTGTAGCAGCCATAGTATCCTCTCGCGGTTCGTCCACTACTAGAATAGAGACCTTCTTATTACACATGTGAGTGCGACAACAACAAAACTCCATCTTTGGGCGGGATTGACGCCTTCCACTTACAGCTACGCACTGAAAGCCAATCGATGTAAAAACCATTATCACAAAAAATCAAAAAAAAAGAACGTTGTAAAGATGTAGCTTTAGTCACTAACCTCATCTTGAACCTTGCAGTCGGCTATCACTTCCTTGTCATGTTGCCAGCAACCTTTCAAAGTGACTTCAATCTTACGCTCTTCAGTGCTGGCATTCTGTGATTAAAATAGGTAAAAGAGTAAATGACACGTAGTAAGAAAAAATTCTTTCCATAATTCAGCTCTAAGTTGAAATTTTTAATAAGTCCTATCCCTAAACAAAGATTTATGGCCTCCCACCTCCTCCTGTTTAGAAAAGGAGGCCCCGTGCATTAGTCATGAGCAAACACGCGAAGATTGCAATGCTGTTGCTGTTTTTCGTTTCTGCCATCAACTCAAATTATTTCTTGTTTACGCTTATCTCTGCCTCTCTGTGATTTGATAGCTGTTTACGGCTAACGTCAGGTATTCACACACCGCCAACAAACAGTCAAAAATCGGCCACTTATATTTTTAAAAAAATTGCTCGATC